GTATTCTGGACACTCCTGGAAGGAATGATTGCAAGACTGCAAGTCCTGGTGATGAAGGAAGTATTGCATTTTCCCACTAATGAAACACAATTACTGCTGTTCATTTTTCACTTTAGGTGAGAAAAGGAGAAATCTAACTCTAGGAGTTTTTTAAAAGTGTATTTTTCAGGGGAAGGGAATATAGGAAGTAAACTCTTGAACTGCTTGACAACTACACATTTTATCTCAACTTGTTAATTAGCATGAAGAGCTTCGTGGTTTTTTCCTGTCTGGAATTAGAGATATCACTGAGAAATATCTGGGAGATTTAAAAAATCATATTGAAATTAATTTAAGGCTATATGGATTTTAGCCATCAGGAAATATTCTCTTGGGAGCTGTCCTGCTTAAAATAGTTTCAGTCAATAAACTCCATATCAAACAAAGTTTTTTCCCCCAGTTATTTCAACAGTGCCCTCTTTATTTCATGAATTTATTATACTACCTTATTTACCATATGAAATGGTGACAAGTGTTTAGCATTTTGGAGATCAGTTGTCAGTTGCTATTAAAATCAAGATTAATTCATATTAACGATATGCATTTCTCAATACTCCCAGGTGACAACATACATTAAAACAACTATTGCAAGTAATTAAGCTCAATAAAGGAGGAGGGGACAGGGAGAGGTTCAAAACACCCCCAATATTTGATTTTGCAATCCAAGTTCAGCAGACTGTTGCCACAACAATGCTTGGGAAACTCCTCAGGGTGGCTTTTCACTTTACATCTAATTAGGCACCTAATGAAAGAGAAGAATTTTCCCCCCATGTGGTTTTTTCTCCTTGATATTCTTTTTTTCCTTAATTTTTCTTAATCCCTTCATCTTTTTCACCTAGCCCTCCAATTCCCCTCCCCTCTAACAGCTGTCAGTCTGTTCTCTGTATCTATGAGTCTTTTTCTATATTCTTAATTACTTTTGTTCATTAGATTCCACAAATAAGTGAAATCATATGGTACTTGTTTTTCTCTGACTGGCTTAATTTACATAGCATAATACTCTCCAGGTCCATCCATGCTGTCCTAAAAGGTAAGATTTCCTTCTTTTTTACAGCTGAGTAGTATTCCATTGCACAAATGTACCACTGCTTTCTTATCCACTCATCTACTCATGGGCACTTGGGCTGCTTCCAACTCTTGGCTATTGTAAATTGCTGCAATGAACACAGAGGTGCATATATTCTTTTGAATCAAGGTTTCTTCAGATATATTCCCAGAAGTGGAATCACTGGGTCACAAGGCAGTTCCATTTTTAATTTTTTGGTGTAAATCCATACTGCTTTCCACAGTGGCTACACCAATATGCATTTCCACCAACAGTGCACCAGGGTTTCCCTTTCTCCATATCTTTGCCAGCACTTTTTGTTTGTTGATTTATTGATAGTAGCCATTCTGGCAGGTGTGAGGTGATACCTCATTGTAGTTTTAATTTGCATTTCTCTGATGATTAGTGATGTCGAGCATATTTTCATATGTCTATTGGCCATCTATATATCCTTTTTGGAGAAGTGTCTATTCAGGTTCTTTGCCCATTTTTTAATTGGATTGTTTGTGGCGTGTGTGTGTGTGTGTGTGTGTGTGTGTGTGTGTTGAGTTTCCTTGATATTTTTACACCTTAATTTAAACACACAAACAGCCCTAACCGGTTTGGCTCAGTGGACAGAGCATTGGCCTGCAGACTGAAGGGTTCCGGGTTCAATTTCAATTCCGGTCAAGGGCAAGTACCTTGGTTGTGGGCACATCCCCAGTAGGGAGTGTGCAGGAAGCAGCTGATTGATGTTTCTCTCTCATCCATGTTTCTAACTCTCTATCCCTCTCCCTTCCTCTCTGTAAAAAATCAATAAAATATATTTTAAAAAAATAAAATAAACACACAAACACATTGTTTAGGAGATGCAATATCCAAAGTTTCTCCTGTGATTCACTTAGTATTATAATCTGGGGAAACTAGGTAGACACATATATTTGTCTTCCAGTTACTGTCTTCCTGCACTCTCACAAGCCATGTTAACCTTACACAGAATTGATAGAAAACATACCCAAAATATTTTAATGGGTTTTTTATTAGGCTTTAGAGATGCTCAACAGTTTATACTAATTAGACTATCCAAAGCCTTTTGAAGATTAAGCAAATTGGACAACCCTTGTTAATTAGAACATAATTTAAAGTTTGAAATTATATCACTGATGAAGTAGTCTAATTAGTATGACAATATGTTAATGGGCAAGTGAGACACAGCAACAGTGGAGTTTGGTGTGAACCTCTCCAAGGCTTGAACAAAAATCCTCCCTCCAATGCTGGCATTAATAAAAGATTTCTATAGACTTCAGCCTTTCCACGATGACATACAATTTATAGTACATACAATGCATTAGCCCATAGTGCTGCTCAATATTTTCACTATTATGAAAACTAATAAATTCGTCAAGCTGAATTAAGCATACAAATCAGATGAGGCATAGCAGATTACACAGTGAAGCGCGGTGTCTCCCGAGCCTAAATGAAATTTCAATCTAATAATTCCTTCCTGGCCCAGTCATAATTTGTTTAGAGATGTTGCTCTACTTCTTTCAAAGCGCTATTCGCACTATAATTAAATGATACTCAAGCTTTTAACTTTGATTTATTTCATTTCTCGAAGCTTGAGACAGTGAGAGCTGTACAATGTCATTTTTTTTATTTCCTTGAAAATTACCCTGGTTGTTGTTGATATAGAAATTAAACACCTAAACATTTACTTGAACCGTCCGGGGCAAGCCACATTCATTTATGTCAACAACCCCTCTCCAGTCCCTTGTCCAGACCCCTCGGCTCAGCTACTGAAGGTAGGAGGAATCCCCTTTGGCTACTATTTACTTATTCCTCCACAGAAGGGAGGAGAAAGGCAAACCTGGGAGTAGCACAGGAAAGCGCAAGGGGGTTAAGGACCATGGACAGATCCCGTCGCGTGCTGTTTGCGGCATCTTCCCAGTCCTGGCGTGTACTAAGGTCTATGCTCCCAATTTGAACCTGGCGTCCCGCCCCGTTGAGGTCAGGGGTCAACCGGCGGCCCCCTTCTTGCTGCTGCCGCGGGGCTTCCGGGTGCTGACCACTCGATGGCCCCCCTTCGCCACGCTTCCTCCCACTCTGATTTGTCCCAGAGCGCGCCAGCGCCTCTCAGGCCTGCCGCCTGCTCTCGCACCTGCTCGCCTTCCCCAGGCACTGTGTGCCTGCACCTGCTCCCAGCCACCCCCGTCCTCGTCGGCCACCCGCCGGACCAGCATCGGGACCTTTTCACCCTCACCTGCACCCCGCTCCTTCCGCGCTCTGTGGAGGTGACAGCAGCCCCCAACACCAAGGAAAGTAGAGAGAAGGCACCAGAGCGGGGAGGATGGAAGGCTGTGGTGTGTGTGTGTGTGTGTGTGTGTGTGTGTGTGTGTGTGTGTAGGAGAGGTTGTCTCCTTCTTTTACAATTGGAACAGTGTGTGTCCACTTCTAAGAAAAGTGGTACCCACTGGGACAAAACTGTTGGCTAAAAATAGGCTATCTCTTCACCGAGTGGCTGTGGAAATGAAGATAAGTGGGACTTGTGCCAGCCCTTGAGGGCGTGTGTGTGTGTGTGTGTGTGTGTGTGTGTGTGTGTGTGTGTGTGTTGGGGTGTGTGTGTGGGGGGGGGGGAGTTCAGTAGCACATGCGCTTTTTGATCTCTGGCCCTGCCTCTCCCTCTGTCATTTGCCCCTTCCTCCTTTGATTGTGGCTAATGAAGAATAATAAATCCAATGGCAGGGTTTGCCCATGGATCCTCCCAAGACCCAACTCACACTGAACTGGATACAGGGAGGAGGAGGAGAAAGATCCGTAGGAAGAGAAAAGAGGGTGGAGAGGAGTGTGTGTCGATGGTGGTGCTGGGGGAGTACGCGGGGACAAGGGGCGGAGGGGGGAGTCGCATGCGCACAGGCGACCCGAGCCTGCTCAGAGGCCGTCCAATCCGCTGAGAGCGGCGAGGAGCCAAGGGAGAGAAAGCCCTGCAGCCCTGTCGACCCCGGGTCTCTTGGGCACCAGGCACCCACCGGGCCGAGGGGGTGCAGAGCAGAGCACCAACCACTGCGCGCATTGGACCGAAGCGCAGAGCAGCGCGGAGGAACCCGGTCGAGGGCAGCACCCGGGTCCACCGGTGTGGCCAGGAGCCTGGGATCAGGGTCACCACAGCTGCGGGGAGGGGCGGGCCAAGTGGGGGCGGAGGCGTGGAACTTAGCGATAAACAGGGGGCGGGGGAGGCAGCCAGGTAAGAGACGTTCTGAGCAGTCCAGGGAAAACCCCACTCGAGGTTGGCTTGGCCCGCAACTTTACTTAGGAGTTCCGTTTCCCGGTGAGGCGCGTCTCCAGAAGGGGCTGGAGGCCAGCTCCTAAGTAGGAACTGCCCCCGGACTGGAGTGTAGACCTGGCCAGTGGGTGGGGTGGAGAGGGCACTAAGGTAAGTGAGAGCTGCGGGGCGCCGAGAAGGGGCAGTGGCGTCGGAGCCGGCTGGAGCCCAAAGGGAAGGTGGAGGACGCGGCGGGAGAGCAGGAGGCGGGTATCTGAAAGGGCCGGAGCCTGGAGGGAGCAGAGGCGGAGAAGGGGCGAAGATAGACTCGAACAGGGGAGGGCGGAGGCGCGCGGGAGGGAGGGCAGGAGGGGGTGCGGGGGCAGGCGCAGGGAGAGGGGAGTATAACTCCGCTGCCGCGAGGCGCGGGGGCAGTTTCGGGCGCCCAGGTCTGCAGCTAGCGCCTAGCGGAGCCTAGCACCGGATCAGACTGACGCCGGAGCCAGCGGAGGAGCGTGTAGTCGGGGCAAGACGCGCCAAGCTCGGAGCAGCGGCGGGTGAGCGCAACTTTACACCGCCCGTCCTCGCCGCCGCTCTTGACCAGCGCTTCTCGGGAGGGTCCCGGCAGCCGGGGGTCACTTCTCGCGCTACGGACCAGCGCTCCGGCCGGCTGGGAAGATGATGATGATGTCCCTGAACAGCAAGCAGGCGTTCAGCATGCCGCACGGCAGCAGCCTGCACGTGGAGCCCAAGTACTCGGCACTGCACAGTGCCTCTCCCGGCTCCTCCGCTCCTGCGGCGCCCGCGGCCAGCTCTCCCAGCAGCTCCAGCAATGCTGGCGGCAGTGGCGGCGGTGGCGGCGGAGGCCGGAGCAGTAGCTCCAGCAGCAGTGGTAGCGGCGGCGGAGGGGGTTCCGAGGCGATGCGGAGAGCGTGTCTTCCAACCCCACCGGTGCGTATTTCTGCATAATCACCGCTTAGAGGCACATTTTGACAGCCCCTTTATCTGCTTGATGTTTTTTTCATGTCTGCACAGCAAATCACCCCACACCTCCAACCAATTTCCCCCCCTCTCTTATGTATTCAGCGGGTCTTTCCTTTCATATTAATTTTTATGACCTGGGATGTTGCCTGTGCGCGTGCTGTGTTGTGTTGTGTTTGCAGGCTCACATTCCTCCTCCTCGTGCACGCTCAGTTTCTGTGGGTGGCTTCCTGCCTCTCCTCCTCACCTGCAAATTTCAGGATTATTACTGTTGCTACTAATTATTATTATTTTAACGTTCTGGGAATGTTGTAGGCGCGGCTGCGGTGTGGAGAGAAGGGCCGGGGCTTCCGGAGAGCGCGCGCACAATTCCCTGCTGAGCGTAATGTGTGCCTTTTACTTGCAATTGCAGAGCAATATATTCGGCGGGCTGGATGAGAGTCTGCTGGCCCGCGCCGAGGCTCTGGCGGCCGTGGACATCGTCTCCCAGAGCAAGAGCCACCACCACCACCCGCCCCACCACAGCCCCTTCAAGCCCGACGCCACCTACCACACCATGAACACCATCCCGTGCACGTCCTCTGCCTCCTCATCGTCGGTGCCCATCTCGCACCCGTCCGCGCTGGCGGGCACGCACCACCACCACCATCACCACCACCACCACCACCATCAGCCACACCAGGCGCTGGAGGGAGAGCTGCTGGAGCACCTGAGTCCCGGGTTGGCGCTGGGTGCCATGGCGGGCCACGACGGCGCCGTGGTATCCACGCCAGCTCATGCGCCGCACATGGCTACCATGAACCCCATGCATCAAGCAGCGCTCAGCATGGCCCACACTCACGGGCTGCCCTCACACATGGGCTGCATGAGCGACGTGGACGCCGACCCCCGGGACCTGGAGGCATTCGCCGAGCGCTTCAAGCAGCGACGCATCAAGCTGGGGGTGACCCAGGCTGATGTGGGCTCCGCGCTGGCCAACCTCAAGATCCCCGGCGTGGGCTCGCTGAGCCAGAGCACCATCTGCAGGTTTGAGTCCCTCACGCTGTCGCACAACAATATGATCGCGCTCAAACCCATCTTGCAAGCATGGCTCGAGGAGGCCGAGAAGTCCCACCGCGAGAAGCTCACCAAGCCAGAGCTCTTCAACAGCGCAGAGAAGAAGCGCAAACGCACATCCATCGCGGCGCCGGAGAAACGCTCGCTGGAAGCCTACTTCGCCATCCAGCCGCGGCCCTCCTCCGAGAAGATCGCCGCCATCGCGGAGAAGCTGGACCTTAAGAAAAACGTGGTGCGCGTCTGGTTCTGCAACCAGAGGCAGAAACAGAAAAGAATGAAATATTCTGCGGGCATTTAGGAGACCCTTGGCCTCTCCAGGGACAACCCCCTCCTCATCCCCTCTTTTCCCTCCCTCTCTCTCTCTCCTGCCCTTTTTCTTTCCACGTTTGGCGACCAGAAATCATTCCAGTAAATGTGAATCCAGAGAAAATGGGGGATTGGAGAGTGAGCGCGCAGCTGAGCCGCAAGCCCGGTGAGAATGTGAAACGACTCCTGCAAGGAAAGAAAAACAAAAGAAGGGATTTGTCAAGTTGCAGCAAAGTTGTCCCTTTGAGCCCCACCCCACCCCGGAAAAGGCACCTGGACTTCCGCAGAGGAAGCCTGTGGGCTGGCTATTTGCGGGAAGGCAGAAGAGACAGCCCTTTGAAAGGCCCCCAGAATGATCAAGTAAGATTTGTTTTTATTCCTAAAGACATCACCCTTGTTCAAGTTTAAAAGTACCCTTTGCAGCTATTTTTCAGAAATAGAAATTGATTCAGGACTGGAACTTTAAACTAGAGTTGATGCTTAATGTGACAGAGACATCTCTAAAGTATTTTGAATTTTAAAAAAGATGGCAGATTTTCTGCATTTACACTGTATATTATATATATATTTTTATTGTGGTTCTTACCCCCTTCGTCCTTCTCTGAAGTGTTAATGCTTAAGAAAGGAGTTGCGCCTGCTGTGTTCACTGATCTTGAAAGCTATTATTAGATTATTGCCGAACAACCCTCTGTAAATTATTAATTTATCTCTCTGGCAACTTAATTTGTAAACATTCTAATTAATTAAACTTCTTTAGTCTTAAAAAATGGGGGGGGAGTATGGTTAGTGAAGTTAAAAAATGTTTATGTTTGATGAGTTTACTGAATTTTTACAGCTTTCCTATTAACACTGTTTCTTTCAGCCCATTTGTATATGCTCACTTGGAATGAAGAATTTTTTCTTTGTTTTTACTGGTAGTGTTCTGATTTGTGAGTTGACACTCAGTAATGGATGTCTTAATCGTGTAGACCTGATTCACTGTCCAAAGTATTGTTTACTTCGTTACATATTTAATGGGGATTCCCACATTGTCCCCACTGTACATGCTCTTACACACCCTTATACACACACACACACACACACACACACACACACACCTCTAATGGAAGAGAAGAAGTGAAGCAGTTGGAAACATGACTATAATGCATCATTTTCTAGCTTTTGGTGCATTTGCCACTTGGTGTTTGTTCTTCCAGATTCTAAGATTTCACCAAGGTATTTCAGTCTTCTGGTTTTCTATTGCTTTGTTAACTACATTTTAACATTTATAGGATTCCTTCGGTTTTTCCTTTTGGAGGTTTGTTTGTAGAAAAACTAATTTTTCTCAAAGAAAGACAGTGCACTGCTTGTAAATTCACATTGCCTGGTAAAATTCTTTTGGAACAAAAAAATGGGTACATGATGACTGGTACCTTATCTACTGTAAATATTTCATTCAAAACGATACACATATAGATATATTCTTACAAATTTTGCTGTATTGCTGTTCCATCTAAGGATCTCCGAAGTCTTGAGTTCTGTATATGACCTGGTTTCTTGTTTTTGTTAATAGATGGTTTATTTACTATGGTAATGTATTATTTTTGGTGTGGTTTGATTGTCTTTCATTGAAGAGATGATTTTAATGTTTTATTGGCAAAGTATGCTGCTTTTTCATTAAAATGTGCTATTAAAATTAAATGGCTTTTAAAATGTGATGTTTTAAATCATTTACATTGGAATTATTTTGATAGGGAATTTTTTAAAAACAGAAACACATTTTATGGTTTATTATGGAGAGGCTGTTATCAAAGTCTGACTTGGATTTAGTAGGAGGTGTTTCTCTAGGGAAGTGTAAAATGACAGGGTTTTCATGGCCTCCTAACAGTCAGAGCTCATCTCACAGGGTGCTTTGCTTTTCTGCCCAGTTGAGATCATGATATGTGATTCTAAACACCTCCTTGAGAGTCCTTTCCCTGGATCTGCAATAATTCTGCAAAGAGAATCTTTGTGAGCAGAGGTGTTGCATGAGTAAAAGGAAGAAAGGAACTCAGTTTGGTTTTCAGCAGCACTGGGAGACTGGGTACGTCAAGAGTCAAGACCCAGTTGGGAGAGTAGGAAACTCTGGTTGAGGCCTAGGAGCTGGTCCTCCATAGTCCGCAGTTTAGCTACTACTCCTGGGAAGCAGCGCCCCCAAACAAGAGCAGGAAGTACAGTCTCTCTCTCTCTCTCTCTCTCTCTTTCTCTCCCTTACTCTCTCCCTCCCTCTCTCCCTTATTCTCTGCCTCCCTCCTTCCCACCTTCCCTCCCTCTTTCCCATACCTTTAAGGAAACCCACGTTCTACAATATGTAGAGTGGGGATGAGGAGCAAAGTATTGCCTAGGTGGTTAGAAGGAGCAAACTATTGCCCCCTTTCTATGTCTCACACAGATAATCAGAGTTGCTGGAAGTCTGTCTAACAGTGGTCTGGCACAAAGAAATTTTGCATATTTGATACACAGACTTCTTTTTTGTGATCATAGTTTAAAGACATCTCCTTACCTTTTTAATAATTTTAAGACTTCTTACAACAGTTGAGCAACATATTAGGGACTCAAATGGTCTACCCCCGCCCCCCCCCCAAGGAAAGCTCTAGTTTAGATACTTGCATTATTAACGATGAAACATCATACTAATTTATAAGTCAACAAGAGAGGAAACAGGTCATCCACCAGGGGTAATTCTGCTAGCTTGAGCTGTGACCCTTCTAATATGGAATTGTCTGGGGGTACTTCTTATTTTGAGGATAAAGATAGGTAATATACTATGAGTCAATGAAAATTGTTATAGTGACTCAAGTTGGGGTTAAATGTTGGAAAACTGATTGTGATTTTCAGATGTAACAAAAAGTTGTAAAAGTTGGACGGGTAATGGGTAGAAGAATTTATCTTCCTATATCTGAAATAAGAAGACCCCTGAAGAAACGAAATCCATGTGTCCATTTCGAAATAATAGGATGCATTGCATAGATGCCTAAGAAAACCAAAAGTTATAGGGATTTAAAAGAAAGAATTATAAATTAAGATATAGTAATATTGATGGTTTAATTTTGATCCTGTGTTTTGGAGTTTGAAAGTCCCTTCTTCCATTTCATCCCCTATTCTTAGATTCAGTTTTTCTGAAAGTCTTTTTAAACAGCCAACCTCCAATCTCACTGCGCTGGATACTGATTTCAGCACCACGGATAGCAACCACATGATTGGGCCCTACTCCAACATGTTTTGACAGTGCAGTTCTAGCCACCTGGAGAACTTTCTGCTTGCTTATTTTTTTGCAGAGTGGAGGAAATGAATTAAATGGGTTGAGTATGTAGCAAATCAGGCTTGCTAATCTAGGATAAAAATTGTCTTCAATAAATAGCACCTCCTTCTTCCTATATGTGACTGTTATCTAAGGGTCTAGGATGGGTGCATTAAGAGAGAGGGGAGTCAGGGGAAAAACAAGTGTGCTAGTTTTCTTTCTACAAATATGACACCTTCAAATAAAGAGATAAATCCAGTGTGAGTAGTATAAGTTGAGAAACATATTGAATAGAAAAGAAATAGGTGTCCTCTTTAGTGCATTTTGAAGTACAAGGGTAACCCCTCCCCCCACCTCTCTTGCCTACAAGATGAAGATTACATCCATTAATGAAGCCTGCTTAAATGTGTTTGCTTTATGAGAAGAGCAGAATTTTAGGAAAAATATATTCTGAAAGTTTTTATGAATTAGAGTTGCAGAGACATACCAAAACAAACCAAAGAGATTTAGAAAGAAGAGAATTGATCTTAAAGAAATGAAAAGTAAGAGTGGAGTGAATCCTGTATACATTGTTGAGAAATATCCATTTGGTATTGACTTTCAAAATACTCAGATGGATAAACAGCAAATTGAGGCTGAAGATCTTTGTCATATCAATCAAATCTATAGGCATTCATGACTCCTTTTCTAACTTTATTTCCTCAAGATTCACAATACTTTCTATTGGAAATTGATATTTATATATTGAATTAGTACATCTAGTCATCCTCAATTTGATATTTCAGAACTTTGTAGTTTATTTTTTAAACTTTTATAAAGGCAAATGATTCAATCCTTTTGTTCCAAGTGATTATCTAAATCTAAACTAGAATGGAATAAATGACTAACAGCAAAGATCGAGTAAGGCCTGATTGTTACCTAAGTACTCTCTACACCAATTGGATTATAATATTTCTAGAAAAATGCAGTTTCCTTTGGATATTTGACATTAAATCAGTTGGTCAATTCTTTTGTTAGACTAAGTTTCATTGACAGATAAACTTGGGGGGAAATGGAACTATGCAAAAGCAAATGAAATAAGATTTACATTCAATGAAATACTCTCCTGTTTTTCTAGAAAATGTATTTTAAAGTAAACAACAAAACATAACTAAGTCTTTTCACAGTAAAAGATTCTGAGACCTCTCTTTGCCAACAGAATTAGAATTTGTGTGGTAAACATGCTTTATTTCTAAACAACAAAACATAACTAAGTCTTTTCACAGTAAAAGATTCTGAGACCTCTCTTTGCCAACAGAATTAGAATTTGTGTGGTAAACATGCTTTATTTCAAACTTAAAATGAAAAAATTACTTTTGACGTATCTATTGGGGAAGCTCTGAGGAGATGGTGAAAAAGGTACTACATTTTTTTACTTGATTTTAAAAGGCATGTTAATGAAAAAAAATGAATCTCAAATTTTTCTGGGAAAGCCATGACAGTAAGTTTAGAAATTCATCTTTTCACTTGTTTGTTGAAAATAATTTATATCTCCAGGTATAAATGGTCCACATTAGAACTCAAAACTGCATGCATGCACTTAACTTTGTAGTTGGCCTTGGAGGGAGGGGCTGCAACAGAAGAAAAAAAGTTGTATCCTGATGGAACAACAAGAAAGACAAAGGTTCCAGATGATTATGATAGAAATGCTCCTGAAGCCTACATTTGTCAAGAGACAGATTTATGGCAATGAG